AAAGCAACGAGAAGACGGATCTTCGTTCGACTTTCTTGGCATCATTGACGACATTTACATTCTGGAAATATCACACGGCCAACCATAATCTTTCATTCTCGTCCAACGCGAGAGTTAGCAGTTTCTGCTGCTTTGAAATCTGAAACGTTGTTTATTTGATTCAACTATAAATGTCACGTAGTTTTTTTTCTTTTTATTAAGAGTTTAATTCTTACAAATCAAGTTGCTCTTCTGCAGAAGAAAGTTCTTTTCGTATTTTCATATTTGCATCGTGAAATTCCACACGTAAGAAATATTCCATTCATTTTTCTTTCGTAAGTCTTTACTTAGAATTAGAGAGATATGTATAAATCGTTTCCTCGCTAACAAGAGGGAAAGAGCAAAGATTGTAATTCAAACGTTTTAAACTGAGCATTAATACAACTGTTTATTAGATAGACGTGTAAAAATGTGAGAATTCATTTCGACAAGTTCACAGCGGTCATCGAATTGACTTGTTGCTGTATTTCAGGCAGTCAACGATCATTTTCATTTATTAAATGGAAAAAAGTACGCTTGCACACAGCGAGTTCCTGAATATTCTAGCATTTCGTCTCACACGGTTGTATCTTACGCGAATAGTTCCTAACTTTTCCTCGTCTCGTGTACAAAGTATTTTTCTATATATCTCTGTACGAATCAGTACAAATAAATTTTTGTCAAGCGAAAAGTTGATGAAAGTTACAGCGAAAGTGACAAGGATTGCCCGAGACGATTCATTTCAATTAGCAATAAATTATAAATATACCACTGTATATCGTGCATCCTCGCGCGATAGTATTTGCAGCACCTTCGATTACTATCACTCCGTCATTATATTGTACTCTACATTCGTATTAAATTTTTCCATGAATTTTGTTGCATACGAAATGGCTCTCATTACTATTCGGACACTAAATGTTGAAACTGCTGCGACTTTGCAAACAGAAATTGCACGTAACGATACAAAATTGGCCTCGTTTTATTCCAAAAATGTTCCTACACTGTGCAGCAGTTACTTGAAAATGTTATAAATTATCATAGTAAATCTACATTTGAAAATCCTTTACGACGAACCCCTGCGACTTTTCCGCCGGTTTATCGAATTTCGAGTGTAACGATCTCTTGAATTTTCGCCTAATATTTAGAAATAAATACGCGGGAGAACTCAGTCAAGTTTTTCAACGTTATTCGACGACACATAATACTTTTTTTTTAAGAAAAAAAAAAAAAAAAAAAAA